GTGTGGGTGTGGGTGTGGGTGTGAATAAAGGGAAGTTCAACATCCACACTCACGCCCACACACACCCACACCCACACCCACACCCACACCCACACCCACACCCACACCCACACCCACACCCACACCCACACCCCACACCCCACCCACACACCCACACCCACCCATATCGAACGCACCACGAGAGGCGAAACCTAGTTCGGATGGAACAGTCTCAATAAAATTGTGACAAAAATGTATGAAAACAGAAGGTATCTTCAGCACCTATATATTTTATGTTCGTGATAGATGGGTTTCAGGCAAGTAATGACGCTACACTACAGTCACAATTTCATAATAGTGCATCCGATTTTACTTGAAAAACAATACAAATGAAAGATGTCGTTACATCAACTCCTTGATTTTAGTTCATTTTCACGATTATATTTTATCAGAAGAATTTAACATCATAAGTAATCTCTAACAATGATATCCACTTCGTATGTTACAAATATGAGGTTTTCAAAATGAGTTTCATCTTAAATGCATCACTGAATTTTTTATTGGACATTGATTTGATGACTCATGCAAATGCAGTCATAGACTATTGACTCCTCAATGATCAACTCAACCACTAATTCATCTATTTGCTTTTGTCCATTTGAATCGTTTGTTTCGTTCATCACCAATTCATCAACATTACTTCGTAAAGGTGAACATGTCGACAGTATGTTTAAACGGCTCAATTCATGCACAAATGAGTTATAACCAAGGTCACTCTTTTATTGTTCACTCTATTTTAAAATACTTTTTACTTAACTAAAGAATTAGAAATATGCAATCGAAAATTAAGTGATCAAATTCACATTAAACAAACTTATAATATATCTCAAGAACGACGTACAATTTTCCTTCTTTTCTTTTCAGTTTTAAATGATCTGATGAAAAACAATTGCATGTAGCAATTGAAACGAATACTGCAGTAAGACTATTTTATTCGTTTTTCTTCTTTCACTTGTCTTTTTCTGATCTAAAATCTTTTTGAAATTATCTCTCTTCTACGAGTCAAACGATCGATTCTCGATCGAAATATGGACGAGTGGGCGACGATGTCTCATTTATATAGTGTATCCTAAAAGTCCTTTCCTGAAAGTTTTTTGTTCCATTCCACTATTGACTGAACTCCAGTGATGAATTTTTTTTGGATAATAGATAAATGCACAGAGTTTTTATTTCTAAAGACAAATTTCAAAAGCATTGTTGAAAGCTAAGACATTTGACCTGAAATACAAGAATTTAGCCTGTTTTCTTTTTCTAGAAAAGCGTTAGATTGCATTTCTTTTTTAATAACTTTGAGTTGTTGAGCGATTCGAATCCTTAAATTGTCCAATACTGGAACGGTCTTTTTACAGAATTTTTTTCGGTATGTCTTTACAAAAACAAAATGAGTAGTACTAAATCAAAAAAAATTCAAACAATTAGAATACATATCATCCATGAGTATTTTCGGAAAGAAAAAACAGACTAAGTTTTTGTATTTCAGGTTAAATGTCTTAACTTTCAACAATGTTTTCGAAATTTATCTTTAGAAATAAAAACTCTGTACATTTATCTATTATTCAAAAACAAAATTAGTCAATGAAGTCCAGTCAATAGTGAAATGCAACGAAAAAACTTTTAGGAAGGAACTTTTAGGACACACTATATTGTTACCCTTGTCGAACATCTTGTAAGCAAGATCTTGGCCAAGATACAAGATACAGAAGTGTTAACGAATCTTGAAAATTTAGGTGCAAGAGAGTGATATGATCTTGTACTAAGATCTGTAATAAGATCTTGGGTGCACGTATTTAATATCTTTAGTTTGATATCTGGTCTTTTATGATCCCTTTTATTTATCTTTGCCTCAAGCAATTACATCCGTCATACGAATAATCAACACTTTCTAAATCTTCAGTTAAAATTCTGCTATTTCATCTATATTTAATAGTGAGAAATAGATATCTGGACATTTAATGCAAGAAATTTTATGGTTCACATGAGCAATTTTTATAGATTCAAAGTATGTCTATTTATTTCAATTTTAACAAAGAAAGACTACGGCGAAAGAATTTGTTATTCTCTGTTCTTACTAATATTTGCGTCTAATTCTTTTAAAGTGATCAGTTTACGTATTTTTAATACTTGCTCTTGGACATCGTACTTGTCATCTTTGAGAGAACGCACGATAGTTTTTACCAATTCTATATTGCCATTTGATCGTAATTTTTATTTAATAACATCAAATAGTCATATGACATTAAATCGATGTTTGTGTATGTAAAAAATTTTTATCTGATAGTTAAAACAATGATTTATAAAAGTCTAGAAATAAAAATAATTTTAGCATTTTTGTTGTATATAATGTTCTAGAAAATTCACTATAGGAAGAAAGAAGTCAGAGAATCTATCTAAATTTGAGATTTGATTAACACTAAAATCTAAAAGGTCTTTTATTTTATCGTTTTCTAAAAAAAAAATTGGTTTTAAGAAATTTGAATTTTAAATTGTCGTGTATATTAACCTCACATCAATCATCTGTTTATTAAGCACCAATCTGCCATGCATACAAACTAGATTAGTCTAAAGGAAAAATTCTGTTCAAACTTTACAAATTTTCTATGAATGATTTCTTCCCTCTTTATTTTTCATAACTTTAATTTCATTGGCTGGCAAGTACCTCTACTCTTGCTAATTTCTCGAATATCTATGAGATTCACAAGTTTATATGATTGAGTTTTGAAAAGCAGTTCCAAGAAATTAAAGAATTTTTAAATATGTAAATAAATTAATGATGTCGCTTTTTGTTTTAGTCAAGATCTTAGGAAAAAATAATAAAAACTAGTATCTTTTTCATGATCTTGACATGCGAAAATCTTTGAACAGATCTTGCCAAGATCTTAGATACAGATTTATCTGATACGATCAAGATATACATAAACGAATTATCTTTTTAAAGACCTTGATAAGATCTTGCTACGGATCCCAACATTTCAAGATCTTTCTTATAAGATATTTGAGTAGGGTAGAGTTTTGAAAAAAAAAGATTAAAATTATTTTTTCTTAAACTTTATATTGTATGTTGGGAATGTATTTTATCTATTAAAAAAAACTAATTCAGATAAATCTGTTATTTCTTTTAAATTATATTAGTTTATATTCTCAAATTATTGACAAATGTAAACAACAAAATACTATGATTAACAAAGTAAATACATCATAATATAATTATCATTAAAATATGTAAAAATCAAATTCTCTTATTTAACATACAGTAATTTCTTTAATGATAAAATAAGTGAATCATATGCTAATTTAACAATGGCTATTCGAACGAATTATCACATGCTTATGTATGATTTTTCTTTTTTTTGTTGAACGCTTCAGAGAAAAAAGCCGTTATTTATTATTAGGCTAGAACACAATTTGATGAAATTTAAACTAAAACTGAAATTCAATTGAAAAACAATATCAAATGAAGATAATGGTTTGTGGATTTTTAAAAATAACATATCATTATTTTATTTTTTTCGTCTAGTATCTGCTGTTGAATTACTTATTGCTAATGATAAAATTAAACTTATGGAATTAGATAAAAAACTTGATCAAGAAATAATTTCTTTTGGTTATTTAAAAGAATCTATTGAAATAATTGCATATGTATATCATATTTCAAATTTTTGTAAATTATATAGAAAAAATTCAATTAAATTATGAAAATATTATTTAAACTTGATAATTTTAAGAAACATTTAGCTAATATACAAATATCAATTGTTGAACTCGAAGACTGGTATAGTCATGCAAGTAAAAGACAAAAAAAATCATGTTATTATAGAAATTACAAAATTTAGATAATCATCGAAATCAATAACGGAAGAATAATCCATTTTTTTCTTTTTCTTTATTCAACATTTAGAATTATGTCATGTTTATTTTGATTTGATTAATGTAAAAACTCAAAGAAGATTCAGTGGTTTCTATAAAATGCGTTTACATCATGAAGCATTTTCACCTTTTATAAAGATCATAAGGATATATAATTGCAACTTAAGAACTTGATATGAAAATGTTTATTTTATTTTGATGAAACAATGACAATAGTTATTACCGATTTTAAGTATTACTCTTCATCCATGTGTTTTATTATCATGAGAAACCGATTTACAAGAAATTCAACAACAAATTAGTTATACAATTGACTTTTGATTTTGATATATTTGGCAAAGTAGCACAAAATTTTAAAAAACAAATAATAAAGAAAATAAATGATGATATACATGAAACATGTTATGTATTTGATAAATATGGTGTTGGTTATGTTAGTGTTGCTAAACTGAAACATCCTATGCTTTCATTGGATGAATAGTTTACAGAGGAAGTTCACGAATTAACACATATAACTGATATTGATAATAATCAACAGTTCGTATCTAACTAACTAGAAACTTTAAACAAAAAATAATTTCATTCATTTTTCTATTTCCATTTAGATGCAACTGTAAAGATTTTGTATGTATTTTAACAAATGAACAACGCGAAAATATGATCGATCTTTTTGTCAATAATAATATGAACAAAAAATAATATACATTTCATCTGATAATAAGTACAATCGCTTCTCTATGTAATCTCTATAATTCATACATTCCTCTTATTTTTTCTTTAATCTCTTTATTTGTTATTATTGCTTCAGTTTCTCTAAATATAAACTTACGTATGAATAACCAACAAGAAAAATGTTTCTTTTTTGCCTTCATCGATTGGATATGAATGATGAAATAGTTAAATTATTTATTATTGTATTTAATTGTTCAATATCTATCTGATGATGATAATACTACAAGGAAAAAACATTGAAATATCATTTATTCATGCTATTTTGCATCTTTTCATATGTAGTTCGATTGTTTTTCATTGATTGGATATAGCTATATAATAAACGATAAAATAAAGCATGATAATATTGTTCTAGTTTCTTTGTCACAGTAGAAGCGACTAGTATTAAACATCGTACTTATTTTAGTACTAAGTAGGTCAAATAATTTATGAAAGTTTCAAAACATTTACTCTTATTGTATGCAAGAATGATGAGTTTTAAAATGATTTCAGAACTTTTGATATCCCCTTAATATGTGTATAGGCAAACGAAGAGAGAAATGAGTCATTATTTTGTCTTTTTTCTCCCTCTCATTAATATTGGACAAAAGTTGCACATGTGTCAGCCACTTAGTATTCTTTTTTTTTATAACATACTTGCTATGCAAACATGTCATTGTTCGAATTAATACGATTTTTATTTTACTTGCTCTCTATCATCATACTAGGTCTCCTCTCTTCTCTCTCCGCTCAACTACTCTCCATCGGTCATGGACGAGTGATCAACATTTTTTTTCGAGCATCGGCTTTGTTGATGGAGCATAATCCACATAGTATTGAGAAGTCAAGTACATACTCTGCATGCTTCACTGATTTGTGCAATAGAAGAGGTATTTTTCTTCAATATTTCTATCTTTCACGATCAATAGATGTAAAAGAAATAGATCACTGTTGTGAAGAGTCATAACTTCATTTTGTATTGATAATATCTCTCGATATCCTAGTGGGATCCGATAACCGTTGCCTCCTCATATGAAAGAATGCTACAACAGCAAAAGAAATACATATGAAAATATACACATACACACACATGCTTTTTCTCCTTCAATTCTTTGTTACAGTGTTGTTGTTCAACAAGCCAGCTTCGAAGTCAATTTAAATGCATAAAATAAAGGATATTTTGATAGATAAATTTTATTATTATCGAATGATGAATAAATATTTTAAAAAATGAAGCAAAAAAGAGTGGAGAATACATATTAAAAAAAAGGATGAATGCAAAAAATGTGTAAAAGAAATTCACATTCACAATGACAACGATCACTTACTGGATAATTCTCATTGAATGATTGCCTTGAACGGTAGTCTCTGTTGATAAATTATGCAATTGATCGATGATAATCTATTGATTGTTTGAAAGAAAAAAAAGATGTGAAATTAAAAGCTCTATTATCCGTTATAACAAAGTCTCATGAGCAGAAATTTAATCGATGATGGTGAATATCAACATCATCATGAATAAGAGCAAGACAAAAAAATAAAAAATAAAAAGCACATATCCAAGTCGATCAATGACTTAGACTATTCAGCACAAAAAAGATATCATCACCAACACCAAGACACATTATATCAAAGAAAATCAATACTGAATTTATTTTATTGATGTCACACGTGTGTATGTGTCTGGTTCTGTTTGATTAGATTATTCTTTTTTTCTTTAAATTATAATCTCATCTTTTAATGTGAATTTTTTTGCACTCAATTTCATTAGGCATTGATTTCTCTTTCTGTTCTCTTTTCCGTTTTCTTTTTCGTTCTCTAACTATCTACACGTGCGTATAGGGAGTGAATCGATATCTACGTGCTTTGTTTTTTATCGATAATAATTGCTTTATTTTGTACAATGTGGAAGCTTTATTCAATAAAAAAAACATAATAATAAACTAAAACATCGGGAAATAAATCATAAATGTCTTCGAAGAAACAAAATAAAAGTGAAATTGATTTTTTTTTTGAATGTTTCTATTTGATCAAAAAAAAAACAAGTTGATTCGTTCGATTTGTCGTCATATGATAATTAAATAAATGAAAGCATAAAGCTAATAATCTGATCACTAGAGTGGGCCTCAATGACTTTTCTTTTACAAAATTTATTCTTTGCAAATAACATGGAGCGTGCTTTCAACATTTCCCATTCAATCTCTAAATGCGAATTTTAATCACCACTAGCATCATTGATATGAATTTGGAAAGAAATGATCAGTTATGTATTTCATCTACTAGCGGATGCACAATCCAATTGAGACAAAACTTTGTTTGACCATTGTAGAAGATGAAAATTCATGCATTCTATTGACTTTTTGTTTTTATTTCGAATCTTGAAGTCTTTATTATTTTTTGACTATTCATCGTCCTTCTCTTATTTTCACAGCCCATCGATCTAAATTATAATGGAGTTGGATAGAAGTTGATGCGTATAGCATCAACAGATCTTCCATTCTCCACTAATTTCTTAATATACTGTTAATCTCACGTTATTCGTTTTTAGCTTTCGTACAAAGAAATATCCACATTAATAATATCGAGTCAAAAATCATCGTTCTCAGGGTAACAATGACCGATTAAAATCAAAAATTCTTCTTTTCTAATATAAACAAAAACAAAAACTCTGCATTATTTTCTTCATTAATCATGCCGTTCAAATCTCAATTCATTCATTTATACTGATTCATGTCATCAACAAAAGTGATACCTATTATACATGTCTTCCACAGGTATCTATTCAGTAGTGAAAAACAATCCGTCCATACTTTTGCTTATTCTCCTTCTCAAATACGTTTATGCATATTAGTGAGGAAGAGAACAGATAAAAATAAACTCGTTATCACAGTACACAAATAAAACCTATCATTCTTGCAAGGTACAATCACCTATTCTCAATTTCTATCACGCAATAATCCTATGTACAAATCACTAATACAAACGCCATCCACAAGAACAAAGAACTATAATAGTAACAATATACTGACATTACCGATTTATTTTTTTGACCGTCCTCCCTAGCAAAAAAAAGCAATACCTACCTACTAAATAACGAATAAATGATCAGCACGCACATATTAAGCTAGCGGGCGAAGAAAAAAAACCCTCACCCACATTATATGTATATATAAACACTCAGAATACATCAACGCACAATCCACATTACTAGTAATTATACATACTTACCTATCCACCTTGAATCAACAATCGGAGATTCTTCAAACTTCAAATCATGCACATTAACGTGATTCTCCTTCTCTCATTGGTAGCCTATGCCACAGGCAGGTCAGCTCAGAGATATTTCGACGACGATTCTGCTGACACTGCTACCGAGCGGCTCGATCTTCGTGAGCTGGCCAACATATTAAAAAGACAAACTAAAGATCATTCATTTATAATATACTTGCCTTACCAATTCATTCATCCTCAAATTTCTACCACAGACACGTTACAAATAAATACAACCTTACCGAATAGTCATTTGTAACACGATTTCTACTCATAAGTTCAATATGATTCACTTACTTCCCAGCGAATCAAAGCTATGAATAGAATTTTTGTACAAAGTGTTCATTTCTCACACTATCTTTACTCATAGGTTCAACATCATTCTACCACTTCGATGCGAATCAAAAATATGAATAGAATCTTACTGAATACTATTCATTTGTCGTACGATATTTACACATAATTTCAACATCATTCTACCGCTTCAACGCAAATCAAACATATGAAGAGAAACTTACTAAATAGTAGTCAGTTGCCACACGATCTACGCTGATAGACTCAACATTGTTCTACCACTTCGCACCGAATCAAAAAGATGAATAGAATCTTAATGAATAGTGCTCATTTATCATACGCCTATTACTCATGGATTCAAAATCATTCTACTGCTTTGGTGTAAATCAAAGAGATGAATAAAGTCTTGCTGAATACTGTTCATTTATCACACGATCTTTACTCATGCATTCAAAGTCATTCTACTACACCGATGCGAATCAAACAGATGAAAAGAAACTTGATGAATACTATTCCTTTGCAATATGATGTTTACTCATAGATTCAGAATCCCTCTAACGCTTCCACGCGCATCAAACAAGTGAATAGCATTTTTGTGCAAAGTATTCATTTATAACACGATCTTTACTCATAGGTTCAACATCATTCTACGACCTCAAAACGAATCGAAGAGATGAATGAAATCTTCCTCAATAGTATTCATTTCCCACACAATCTTTACCCATCCGCTCAATATCATTCTCCGATTTCAAAGCAAATCAAACAGATGAATAGAATCTTGCTGAATAGTATTCATTACCCACACAATTTTTACCCATCCGCTCAATATCATTCTCCGATTTCAAAGTAAATCAAACAGATGAATAGAATCTTGCTGAATAGTATTCATTACCCACACAATTTTTACGCATCCGCTCAATATCATTCTCCGATTTCAAAGTAAATCAAACAGATGAATAGAATCTTGCTGAATAGTATTCATTTTCAACACAATCTTTCCCATGAGTTCAACCTCATTCCAACAATTTGAAGCGAATCAAATACATCAATAGAATTTTTGTCAATAGTATTCATTTCTCATACGATTTTTTCTCACGATTTCAACATCATTCTACCACTCCGATGCGGATCAAGGAAATGAATAGAATGTTCGTGAATAGCATCCATTTGTCATATGATGTTTACTCATAGATTCAATGTAATTCT